TGGGATGTACTGGGATGTTTAACACATAGAACTCTTACTGTAGTTTGTGTTGGTTGCCTACTTGACGGTCTACGTTTATTCTACTTTCCGCCTAGATGAAGTAATAGTATACACATCTTTTATATCATGGCTATGACGCATGACTGGTGGGATCACTCCCTTACCTGGGTTGCTTTCGTACGGTACATGTATAGCTAGTTTGTCTGGTAGAGCTCTTACTGTATCCACCGTTACTGGCCTACTTGACCGCTACTTTGACATCCAACTTTTGTCTCTACAAACTGTATTAGGCTGTGGCTCTTGCAGCAGGGAAAAGGATAAAACACAAAGTAAGGTTCGTCCGATTTGGCTTCCACCAGAGCTGGACAACCTATCAGCCCTGGTGCCTATCACTGCTGTTCGGTCCAAGTTACCTGGCAGTGCCCATTGGTAGGGTAATGGTCCTGAGTGCTGGTCACAGTGAGGTAGGATAGTGGGATAGGGGGTGCGCTAGGTATTGACGTGAGGATGGGATGGGAGGTGGTCTCATATTCCAGGACACCCACGGCCTACTGCTCCAGGTGATCACTGTGTACTTTTTTTTAATGATTTGATGCCATCAAACATGTTCATGAATAGCTTAGGGGTGGGACTGACTGACCTTGGAAGCCCAAAAGTTATAAGCTGGCGCAAGATTTGAATTTAAACTTTAAAGCCCTTCCTGCCTTTTCCTTTTGATGAAAGCATAACGGTCGTTGATCTTTTACATCGATCGGTCCAAAACCGGCCCCATTCTAATTTTAGAACGGTACTCCGGAGCGGGCCTGACTTGTTTTTAGGTCAGGGCTTGGGACAGGTCCCACCGTCCTGGTCTAGCTTAAGAATGGGACATAAGGCAGGTCCCTGTTTATTTTGAGAGAAGAACTTGGGACTGGCCCCGACTGGTCAGTCCCATGCTTTTTTTTTTTTTTTTTTTGGACAAGGCTCCAATCTATTCGTGGGGAGCAGCACGTGCTGGGAACCGGGCCCAGCGTCCCATATGGAAATTTACATAGAATTTTGAAAGTTTGAGATACCGGGGCCATTACCCAGCTTTGGCTACGACAAACTTCAGCTATGGGCCCAGCGTCCCATATGGAGATTTACAAGAAAATTTTGAACAACTTAGAAAATTACTACGACAAACTTCAGAAAAAAAAAAGGTCTGGCCACAACGAAACACGCCACCACAGAGGTCCTACAAATGCTCAAGACCCTGTGTATCCCTAGCAACCCTTCTGAAGCTCTCCCACACTGTCTTACTCCCTGCGGGGCTCTTCCAGGCCTCACACACCCACCCTGCTGGGTTACAGGGCAACACTACTTAACCCAGACCCGAGCTAAAAATAAAGGGGCTCCTTCCTATCTGAAGGGTCTGAAACTAGTTGTCCTCGGAATACGGAGGGTTGGCCGTTCTGGCCGTTCTGAAATTAGCACGGGACTGCGCTAAAATTAGAATCACCCATTCTAGGGGAAGTGGACAGTCTTGGCTGGTCGAATATGCCCCTAAAAGGGGCTGAAGAGGCAGGCCCATCTCACCAACACACACATCAGTACCCGCACAGTCAATCCCCCAGGAAGACAGGGGTAATCAATGCTGGGGGTCACAACACAATGATCTAAACTTTCTCTGATTGTAGAAGGGGATGCTGGACCTGTTTTCCAGCAGGTGCAGCTCCCCACCAATAGGTGGAGCAGCTCGTGGCTACTACGAGCGGGGGCTGCTCATATCACCCCTTCTAGTAGACAGCCAAGGCTTAACAAAAGAAAAAGAAGAAGAAAAAAAGGCTGGTCAAATATGGAATACGAATGGTCGGCCAGTCTAAAATTAACATAGACCCGCTGTAGAATTAGTGCAGGACGCTGGACCTGGTTTCCAGCAGGTGCTGCTCCCCACCAATAGATGGAGCCTCCCCGACAGTGCTAGTGGCACCTACTCTTATCAGCACCCCTAGCATTTCCTCGGGTTGTTCTGATAAGAAAAGAAAAAAAGAAAAAAGAATTAGTGCAGGCCTTGGCCAGAATAAAATGGTCTAACTCCGGCAAGACTTCGCCTAGACCTTCCTTTCCGCTGTTGACTCTCTTTTGCCTAAGGCCCTACGTGTCACGTCGGTTCTAGCGGTCTTGGGTCGACCTCTCTCAGTCCCAATTATCATATCAACTAGAGCAACCATCCCTTTCAGCTCATACCCTTGAGATGACCTCAGAGGCTGTCTGCAACGCGTTGCCCTCCGACAACGGCTGCTGCCCTCTTCCACTCCTGTCAAAGCCATGATCAGCGTGAGCTGAGGACAGGCCAGTCATCCTCCCCTTGACCCACCCTAGATAAATCTCGGTATCCCCCCCTCCCTTGCACCACAGAGACCATCTTGACCATCGATCTGTGATGATCGACAGCTCGGGTAATCTGAACAAAAACAGAAAACAGACGGTCGAGACAGACAACCATTTGATTCAGAAGAGAATGCCATGTCCTGTGATGGATGAGTCAAATTTGGTAGTCCAATGATCCGCTGTTCCAAGTAGTCGAATGTTGAATCTGAGTTGATGTTACTAACATGCTGATTTGAATCTGATTCGGCGATATCACCCCGTGTCCCTATATTTGCAGCTGACATCCGCACCCCTTGGATTGTGCAATCAGACCGGGTCCAGGGGTGGAGTCCCAGAAAATCTGTGTGTGCATATCGTCCCTTCTCTATCGGATTGAATCCATCAGGAGAGTGGACTGTACAATTGATTTGGTCAGCTAGTGGCTTCCAAGGTATGTTGGACTGTACCGTAGGATCCGATCTGGTGGTGCGGGCCTGAGAGAAGCTTACTGGCCTCTGGCACAGGTGGACCGCACCCCTTGACGGGAGTCTCTAGTAGGTATACGTATGCATGACGGGCCTCACATACCGCCTGATTGAATCTACTGTAGATTTGACTGTACCGTCGATTTAATCCACCAGTCGCTTCCCAGGTAGGTTAGACTATATCATCTGATTGAATCTGTATGGTACAGTCATCAGAGAGGTATATGGACCTCTGGAGCAAATGGCATCTGCACCCCATCGGATCCGGCAGTAGAGTGTTTGGCAGGTGTATGTGTGCATGTCGGACTATACCATTGAATCAAATTCGGCATAAAAGTGACAAGAAATATGAGCCTCTGCCGCAGGTGTAGTTCGCATCCCGTGGAACAGCACCATCGGATCAGACCTGATCTTCTAGCATCAGAGAAAGAAATTTGTGCATCTGAATATGATCTGAGAATCTGGGTCCTCGGCGGGCCTAAGCGGCCCTGATACAAATGTGCCCGCCCTAAGCGAAGGCGGGCCTAACAAATCTGGAGAGGCCCTCTGCTGTCAATTTCGTATTCGGGGTCCAGGCAGTTGTGACGCGCCAGTTGGATGAGGGTAACAAAGGCCGAGCAGCAAAGACATTCTACGACCTTCCAGGCCTTTCCTGAAATGCAGGCCCTGGGCAAGAATCGCAGCCTCATACACAGACAGTTGGGAAGCCCAACCGAACGAGGCACAGCCTCCTGGGGCCTACCGGAAGCTTCTGGGCAGAGGCCCAGGCCAGCCAGGCCGCCGGGGCAGGCAGGCTCTTTCCATATAGGAAAGAGCTTGCTGCCTGGGCTCTCATTCAGGAAATTGCCAAATGATGCGGCGGTGCTGCTGGAGCAATTGCTCGTGGGCTGCTGAGCGGTAAAGGCAAGGTGCTGCACGCGTGTGGTCATGCAGGAAGCAGGGCGCTGCTGAGGGAAGCGCCATAGCCCAGCCTCCATAGCTGGCTGGGGCTTGGACTACAGTGAGGCGCAGGGGTGGTCTTCGGGTGTACAGAGGGAAGACATGGGTGCAAGACGAGGGAAAGAGAGAAGGATGATGATGATGATGATGTGAGGGCACATACCTTTTTTGAAAAAAAAAAAACAAAAAAAAAACGCTCCATCTATTGGTGGGGAGCTGCACCTGCTGGAAACCGGGTCCAGCGTCCCTTGAAAACATGAATGGTATTGGCGATGATCTGCATCTGGGTGACATCTTCAAGTACTTCGTTGGCTGCTGACATCAACAGTTGCATTGTCAATTTGTAGGCAGATAGTAGTTGTGTAGAAAGTAGGCTGGGCGCCGAGCGCCAAGTAGGGAGAAGGTCCTGAACTCTTGTATTGGTGGTGGTGAGAGCAAGCTCTCATT